CACCATTTCATACTGTGTTATACCTATTCTAGTTATAACTGAGAAAATATTGCCTTAGTATATTTTAGCCAGAATTATCAGACTCTTCCATCACAGTAGATGGTAAATGGACTGGTTCTTATATAGGAATTCTCTACTCTATTTGAGCGAAGGGCTTTACACAACTTGCCTCTTTTTTTCTATGCAAGTGCTTTCTATCTAACATTTGCATGGATTCATACTCCAATAGATGCATCAGTGAGCAACTTGGGGTTAGTATCGTGCCCAAGGCTATTTGCCATGCAAACTGGATTGTCTGTAGAAGACAATCAAACCAACTTCCAGTTAGTAGGTGACTTGCTCTACCAACTGAGCTACAGCCACCCCAATAAGATCTCACACTTGTAAGTTGGTGGAATAGGTCTTGGAAATAAAAATATAATGATAAAATACAACCAGCTGTAAGTTTAACCAATAGAACAAATAAGAAAATATCATGTATAAAATGATTCTTACTCTTACTGATAGTCCAACCATGGAGGCTAGGTATGTATGTCTGTATGTGTGTGGGTGTGTGTTGTAGTGGCAGATTTCCATACTCTATGTATTGATCACATGTTTGAACAATATCACTTTGGTAATAGTAAAATCACTTTGTCTCAAAGTTATAGATATGTAGGATGTTATCACAAGTGGGCCTTATGCTGATTACTACGGAGCCCCGCAGGGGACATGGGAGAAAAAAAAATTAAGACGGACTTTTGCGAGATCTCGCAAAAGTTTTGCGAGATCTCACAAAAGTTTTGCGAGATCTCACAAAACAAACTCGGGATCTCGCAAAACGTTTGCGAGATCTCGAGTTAGTTGTGCGAGATCTCGCAAAAGTCTGTCTTAATTTTTTTTTCTCCCATGTCCCCTGCGGGGCTCCGTAGATTACACCTTCACAGTGGGGCCACTGTATGTAGGTTAGAGACATCCAGGTGCCACATGTAAGGGAGGTGACGGGTGGTCGTAAATTTCCCTTTTGGAGGAAGGGTTTGAAGATGAGCTGAACTGGGAGGTATAGAGCTACGTGATGTGCTGTGGAATTTCCTTTGTCTGAGTTTGGTCAGGTCGTATATAAGAGTTCAGGGCGGTGCCCATCTTTAGAGACCTTTTGGTGTGTTACCTGAGTGTTTTCTCATGTTCATGTGAAAATAAGGTACCGTAATGATACATGCAACTGAAGTAAGATTGCATAAACTGAATAAAACATTAAAAGAAGGATATACACATGTGACTGAAAGTTCAAATGTGATGGAATTATTGAAAAGTCATGCTAAGAATAACATGGAAAAGAAGAAGATGTTATACAGTCATTTTAAAGTTTGTTTTAAATTGTGTATGTAGAAAAGTCAGAAAGAAAGAGGATGATAAGTCGTGATATCTTCTGATGTCATCTCAGAAGATGTTACGTCCAGAGAGGGAGGAGAAAGGATGACCTGGTACAAAAGTGTTGTGCAGAAGAAATAAGTTGCTCTTCC